GAAGTTGTAGTGGATAAAGGTTCTGGGCCGATGTTTGAAGAGTTTTCTTGGGTGTTCCCTTAAGTGTTCCAGGCTAGAGCGTGTTAAGAAACGGTCAACTTGGCCTGACGTGAAGAGATCATATGGAAGGAAAAGATCCCCTCTGATACGTCGCATATCTAGAGGGTACAGATTTAGCTTTTTTAGTCGGGTAGGATAAGGGATTTCTGACAAGCCATGTACTAGTTCCGTGAGCCTTCGCTGCACACGCTCTAGTGTGTCGCGGTCGCGAATGAGGCCAGAATGTGCAATTTGGCTGCCATATTCTAACAGTGGGCGTATGTATCTTCCATAGAGGAAAAGGAAGTCCTCTTTGATTATACGCAGGAAAGATCGTTTTATAAGGTTTAGAATAGGAAAAGCGGTTTTACTGGCTGTTGGGATGCGTCTGTGCCCCAGATGGTGACATCATCCGCGTACATGGCAATCTCTATAGGGAGACGTTTAGGGAGATCATTAATATAGATAAATAGGATGGGACCTAGTACGGAGCACTGTGGGACTCCTATTGAGACTGGAGAGGGTGAAGAAACGGATGTGCCTATTCGAACCGCGAAGGAGCGATTCGACAGAAAATTACTAAGCAGGGAAAGCAGTGATGCCATGACTCTCTGGTTTGTACAGAAGAGGGATGTGTGGCACTCTGTCGAAGGCTTTGGCAAAGTCTATGAAGATCGCGTGCAAAGTATGACCTTCGACATAGGCACGGCTTAAGCTATCCATTAAGGTCAGCATATTGGAGGTGCATGACCTGTTTGGTAGAAAGCCGTGTTGAGAAGCGTGTACCAAGCCGTTCTCAGTTAGATGTCTTGAATACGCCGTTTAATGAGGCGCTCGAAGCTATTACTGGGAATGCTGGTTAGGCTGATAGGCCTATAGTTAGTAGGCAAGAGTCTATCGCCTTTCTTATAAATAGGAGTAACAGTTGCCCTCTTCCACTGTTGTGGAAGGCTTCCTATGTCCAAGCACATTTGTAAGAGAGGGACATATGTGGCAGCAAACACGTCCGCGGATTCTTTCAATATACGGGGGTGGATTTCATCCGGACTCATGGAGCTGAAGGAGTTCACGCGTTTTAGAACGAGACTTTCTTCAATCCAAGGCGTCAGTCATCGCTCGCACAATGACCAACATCAAAATCGAAGCAGATGACTTGTAGTGATCCAGGCCTACACGATGGCGCCTACCCTGGAGCGGCGCGTTACAGTTTCAGGACATTGGCGATCAATCAAGTTTGAATGCTGATGTCAATGACACGTGCATGGNGCAGATGACTTGTAGTGATCCAGGCCTACACGATGGTGCCTACCCTGGAGCGGCGCGTTACAGTTTCAGGACATTGGCGATCAATCAAGTTTGAATGCTGATGTCAATAACACGTGCATAGCTTCTGAATACACGTCATTGGCGGATGGTGCCAGCCAATCGAAGACACTGCAGACAGAAGCAAGATTATGCAAGGATCACTGCAATCCAATTGGTGGAAGCCCAAGTAGCAAATAATCTCCCTTTGTACATATTATTTAATCAACTTTATTTCTTCCAATAAACGAACTACTTACTGCCTGTCCTCTGGCTTTTTACCCGCGTCTCTTTCTCCTGGGACATTGCGAATCCATGCTCTTGTGGTCCGGTGCTTCTAAGATCCAGTCCGTGATAGCTGACTATTGATTGGGGTCCTGCGATTCATGTTGCGTGGTTGGTGTTCTGAATTCCGTGCGTATTACTACGATTATAACAATCACTACAAATTGGCGTCGCGTGATGGAGCTCCCAACGATTGAGCAACTGAACCTGCAAGCAAGTCCATCCGAGATCGAGGAATGGATTGAACGATTCGAGCTGTGGGGCAGTATTCTCAAAGGTGGTACACAGAATCAGTCAGCCCTTTTTCTTACTGCTGGCAGCCGTGACCTCTACCCCCTGTTGAGAAACCTGGCTTTCTTGAGGCTCCAGCCAAACTATCATACGAGTCCCTGAAATCGCTGCTGCTCAACCCCCTGCTGCTCACTGAATCTTAAGCACATGCAAGGGCCAAAGTGAACTCCATGATTCGTGCCGATCATGTTTCCTGCAGTGAATTCATCCTGCAGCTGAACAAACAAGCATCACGCTGCAACTATGGTGATCGCCTGGAAGAACAAATGCGTGACCGCTTGGTGGCAGGCATCAATAATCCGACTCTTCAACGAAAGTTGCTGGAGAAGAAAGATTTAACTTTTGCTGATGCCCGCAAGATCTGTGAGCAACACGACGACCTGATGAAAGCCACTTCCAGTGAATCAGTCACATTATTCCAACGGCAGAAGACACGACCAACCCGATCTCCATTACCCAATTGTGTACCAAAGCCGCAACACGACTCTTCAAGCAACGAAAAACGCATCAATCCCTGTTTGTCATGCGGAGCTTACTATCTGCCGCTTCCGAAATGCCAAGTGTCATGCATGCGGGAAAACCGGCCACATTCGGAGAGTGTGCAAACAGCCCCGTTGCAATCTTGCACAACCGACTGCTGCGAATGACACAAATCTGGTGCTCTCTCTACGATCCGAAAGCTAACGCACCCAATTCCTATACACAGATGTGACAGTTCAGTCCGGCACAAGGCACAAATTCATTGTTGATACGGGGAGCATGGAATCTATCAGTTCTTTTGCTGTGCTTTGATCTATCTGCCCCCAAGCCTAAATCTATCCGACATCCGTGCGAATCCTTGGGGTGACTGGACATAAATTGCCATTGCCTGGTGAGGTTTCATTGATGGTTC